TTCCTCAGTAAAAATTACCTGAACTTGAGACATCTGTTATTTTGGTGTTAGTCAAAGTACATCAAGGAAATTCCAAAATGCTTGAAGATGAGACGCACGTATAGTGTATAAATTGGCTGTAACTCATGCTCCATAATAAAAAAAAGTATTACTTTTTTGAGTCCCAGATATCCACAGTCTGAAGATTGAAGTCCTCCCGACGTGAAAGGTGCTATATAAATGTAATTTTGTTGTTGTTGTAGTATCTAAAATAAATTAAGGTGACAAGAAAAATTTGGAAAACTTGAAATACTAATGCTCATGTAGTAGCTACTATGTTGAAGTTGTGCTTATTTCTGCGCCTTGCTCCAAACTTCTATTGGTTTGTGTACTTATCACATGCACATCACATTGGCTAAAGGAAGTGCTGTTTTCAAAGGAGTGGGGAGCATGTTACTGTCAACTCAACTGTTAAATATGAATCCTGCAAAAGTAATGTAAATGGCTGATGCTCAATTTATTGTATTTGTTTTAAACTGTTCATAAAAGAGGTTTAATTTTGGTGGTTTAAGTAAGAAAATGTTATGTAAAGGTTTAGATAGATATTTGTAATTTCTGCATTGCTGTATACCCAAGCTATTAAACTGGCCTTTATTATGAAATCTTCTGGAGTAGGAGGCTTGTTGTGTGTTGCTGTATTTATATTATCATTCTTGTTGCTGAACATGTATGCTGTATATTATCATCCTTACTGCTTTTTTCAGTATATCTGAAGAGTTGGACCAGATCAGTGAGATGATTCAGATATTTTTAAAACTATATTAAAAAATTTCCCTATATATTGTAGCGTTTAATAGGAAATTACATGCTCTACTAATTGGTACCTTGAAGTTAATACAGATTTCATATAATTGGTCTAAATAACTTTTTTGATTAAAGCAAAACATATTTTCAGATCTTGTATCGTGATTATGCAGTCCTGAAATTTTGTATTCCTTACATTGAAGTAAACCAGAATAACTATGCTAGAAATCCTGCTATATACGTGTTTACCCTCCCAGCTGATGTCCCCTGACAGAGTTTAGTTTCATCTCAGTTCCTGCATTCCTTTCCTGCTTGAAGAGATACTGCTGTTTATCATTGCAAGGAAAACTGCAGCTGCTCTTGGTTAGTCAGACTGAAAATCTGGGCCATGGAAAAAAAAGGGAGGGGAAGAGAAAGGTTTGTGTTTAGAAGCCCCAGCTGTGACCATTAACAGAGCAACCACTTAAATCTGCTAGGAGTCGTCTTTCGAGCAGGAAGGTAGGTGTGGAAATCTCTTGCTCGGGTTGTGGTTTAGTGCATTTCTAGACTTCAAACCAAACGAGTTGATCACTTGTAAAACTGGTTGCATGAAGAGGCACAAGTCTAGCATGGGAACACATTTTTTATGGTGAAGGTAAATTGATTGATTTTACTTAAGTTGAAAGTCTGGTTAGAGTAAACATTTCCTGTGGCCTTTCGTAAGAGGATAAATAACTTCAGGAAGACACTATTGCAATAACAACAGTTAGTTCACCTTAGACGGTAATGTGAGGTCTCATATTGTGTTTGTTAAAATTGTTAATTGTAAAGTCTAGAAGCTGTGAATTTTTGGCAGATATTGGCTTGATGTCACACTCAACCTCAAGGAATGTGCACTGAAAGTAGTAATCCAATATAATAAAATATCAACCCTGGCACATCAGCTGGAGGCTTGTCACTGAGCAGAATTTCTGCCTTTCTCTGATTTTTTTTGTGTGCTGTGAGAGTTGTTACCTCTTAGACATCTTTAAGATTGTTAGCAAATGTTCTTTTTATCATGTGGTAATGCTTGAATTATTTTGAAATGCTCAGCAGGAAGGAAACTGGCTTATTTTGATTATAAAAGTTAAGGTGTGAGAGCAAGAGGAGGAGAGGTCAAGTGAGCAGGGGTTCTAAAAGGGTGGCTTTTTTTCCAACTACCTCCACTTCTCTAAAACTAGTGGTTTTCTAACATATTGGAAACATTACAGATTGGATCAACCACTTGGATTTTGAATTTCTTTTGGTATTTTTTTATTTCTTGATTTTGTACACTAATGTTTTAAAATCTGCTGAAGTGGGTTCAGTGTATTGGATACGGTGTTTTTGTTTCCAGTGAAATCCATGCCAGTTGGATTTCAGAAATGGCTAAAATACCAATTTTAGCCATTTCTGAAATTTTTATTTCATGATTTTTTCCTTCTGTTGATAACATTGCAACAAAGTTCTAATATGTCAAAATTATCTGATTTTTTATACATTTCATGTACTTTCTTTACAGAAAGTGGAATTGTCAGTTAAAATGACAGTTTACCCTAAGTAAATTATGTTTTTCATAGGAAATCTAGTGCAAAACATAAATTGGAGCTGTTTTGGGTCGGATTCTGGATTCTCACTTCAGAAATATAAATGCAGCAACTGGGGGTCATTTGCAGTTCCATTTCTACATGGTTCCTTAAAGGTTGTTGCGTGGTCTTGCCATTCTTACTGTTAAACTGGCGTGTGATTTCCAATATTGGGTGTTAATAGTTTAATATTCTCAGCAACCCCCACCTCCCACAATGCAATAACTCGAAGGAAGTTTAAAAAAATTGCTTTGCTTCTAGCAGTACTGACAGCCAGCACAGTCACTTGTGAGAAAGCTGCAGTTTGTTTTTAGTTTGAAGATAAAAAGAAACCAGTAACATTTGTTCTACTGTAGGTTTAATAGCCTAGTCCTTTGTATTGAGATCACTGCTAATTTGTTTCAACCCTTTGTGTCTTGTAATTTGTTAGTTTTAAAAAGAGGTTTTTGGAGCATGTAAAAGATTGGGGGAAGAAGTACAAATAAAGATGATTGATTGCATTGAAATGTGTTGTTCTTTTAATGCAGAAACTGTGGAAATGTTGGTTGAAGGATTTAATTCACTTGGATTTAAGAGTGGAAGAGAAAACCTTTTTTATCAGTTTTAATGGGTCTGAACTGATTATATGTAGTGTGCAGAAAAACGTTATGGACTGACTGTCCTTTTTGTCTATTTTCTTATGCTTTTTAGAGACATTCGTCTAGTCAGAATTTTCAGGTCTTCATTTTCTACTTTATGCAGCACCACTATTGTGAAATAAATTGAAGCCAAGAAAGGTCATGAGTTGGAACCCAAAGTTCTCTGCAAAGTCTGAGTCCAGCTACAACTCACAAGCAGCCTACAATTAGGCGACCTTCCCAAAATACATTGCATAGCAATAGTATTACACTGTTAGCTTTTGTATACAAAATTAAATAACGCAAACCTTGTTTACTCTCAAAAGTTTTCAGAGGATTTTGTTTGTAGATGGTTTAAGTTTGAATTCAGATTTTAAACTGTTGACATTTGAATTTGCAACCTAAATTAAATGGATCTTAGCATTTTTATACTTATACATTTGTTAAAAAATCTGGGACTTTATCCATAAGCCTTCTTCCTATAATCTGCAATTTGTGCCAAAAAAATCCATGTAACTTTTTCTAGACTTGTCTTTTTACGCATTGTGGTGTATTGTATTTTGGTCTAGCCTATCATTTAGGTTTCTCAATTTTAAAAATGAGCAATAATGTCAGCAAAATCTACTGACATTATGGAACTCCATCCCACATTCACTTTGCCTCGCTCCCTCCCTTGCCTCCTCCAAGACCCGCCTCAAAACCCTCCTCTTCGACAGAGCCTTTGGCTACCCTCCCTGCTCTCCACACTCCCCGATCCCAGCTTGGGTCCAATTCCTCCTGATGTGAAAGGCGCTATAAAAAAAATTGATTTTGTGTTGTATTTGTTTTTACCTGGAATAGTAAAACTCCCGTGAGCATTATGAGCTTGCTGAAAACTTGTTTCCTTTTTATTGCTGAAATATTATTGTTTTGTTTAATACGAGCTCTTTTGCTTGAGTACAAATAGTGCTGCTTTGACTAAATGTAAATCAATTTCATAGTATTTATCAGCTACATAATAAAGAAACAAATCTTACCATAACAGTATAAATAAGATTCCTTGTGGCAACGATGAAGCATAGTTGAAGCTAAGATTGTTTGCAACTGTATAGTACCACAATTGTAAATACAATGGCATGGGGACAAATCTGAAAAATAGGGCCAGTGGTGCAGTGTTGTGGGAAGCAAAGAATAATGTAGGTAGTTTGGGGTTCTTGAAAACATTATTATGGATATTATTTTAGGCCCTTGAAGGACTTTCTAATATTGCAAAGTCCTAATATTGCAATGTATGCTTTGTAATATTGTTTAACCCCAGCAGCTTAATTGATGCTATTTGATGACCAAGAGATCTATAACTATAAAAACAGCAATACAATACAAATTTTCATTTATTTGTTATACTTGTCATCTTTTATGTTGGGGGTACATCCCAAGGTGCTGATAGTTGTATAAAATGGTAGAAAGGGAATAAATGACCCCCCCCACACACACACCCCACTGTGGAAGATTGTTTAATTTGAATGTTAAGAACTTCAATTTTTATTTAAACAGCAGCATGTTCAAAATGTACCTTTGGAAAAAGTCATATTCTTAGTATTTAACTTGTAATGTATTTTTGATGGAACAAATCTTTTCTGGTTTAACTTCAGCTTCAAGCTGATGTCTAAATAATCCACTTTTGCAAACAATTATTGTTCTACTGAATTACCAGGCATTTCAGAGTGGTATGGTAATCCTTCAACCACTTGCATTGCACTATATTGACATGTAGGTCAAATAATTGCTCTCTTTCTCTTTTCTTTCCCCTCCCCATGTAAAAATGTGGTGTTGTTTGAAAGTTATAATTTTGTAAAGCAAATGGTTCAAGAAGTCTGAACCATTAATTGTGCAGAATTATAGTTCACATGCTACAAGTCAGTAAACAGATGTTCCTAATTTACCTGGTCAAAATAAGCCAATTCATGGAATGAACTTCATAAATGCCATCTGATTTTCTGTTGTTTAGTACTTAATTGGTTTGGTCTTTCTTTTCCAGCTACATTTAGCAGCCCTGGCATCTCTAAAAACTGACATAGTGGACCTCAACAAAAGACTACAGCATACAGAACTGGAGAGGGACTTGTTGGAAAAGAAATTAGCAAAATCTCAGGTAAGTAAAAAGCAGAACATAAATGAAATTCTTTCAAAGTGACATCAACAGCTCTTCAGGCATAGAGTGAGCGTAGGAAGTGAAATTAATGATGACCTGACGACAAATAAATTACCCATTTTATAAGCACAAGAAACTGACAAGTCAGTGCTGGAACCCAGGTACACTATTGGTTAGTGCAGGTCCACAATTGAACCACACAATAAATGAGGCAGCACTATAACAGTTTCTCTGTGGTCTATTCTACAGCCTATTAAAACAGATTATGGGTCAATTATATCTAAAATGTATCTGTAAATCTATACAAGATTGAGTGATGAGAAATCTGATTCATCAGATGCCTCACTTGTAAATAGAGGTTGTAGATCACAACTAACTAGAAGGTCTGTGTTGCCAAACTGCCAAATTTATTTTAAAACTAAATTATAGTTGCATTTATTTTTTATAACTTTTTAATGGGGAGCAGAATATTTAAATTGATTGCCTTCTAAATGCCTATTGGAAAAGGAGATTTAAAAAAATTATATACATTTGATAATGGGTTCCTCAGGATCAGTTTGCTATATCTTCTGGTTTCTGCTGCTGCTGACTTAAGTTTGCAAGCATAGTGATATGAATTCTTTATTTCTACTCCCCCACCATTTCCTCCATTCTGCTAATTTAGGCCTGTTTTTGTCTCTCACCTATAATAATAATACTAACCCTTGCATTTGATATAGTGTCTATCATGTCTTCAAGATGAACTAAAAGCGCTTCACAGAATATACTGTAAAGTGAATTGACTGTATATTTTGTGGGCAAAATAATTCACCTTCTCTGCTTCATCATTCACAGGTGTACTCTCTGGAGATACTGACCTTAAATTGCTCCACCCTGCACCCTCCCATTACAATAATTACACAGTTGTAAAAACATTCTTCTGACAAGACAACATAGCACCTTTCTTATACTATCATAAATAGAAGTGCAACTGTTACTGAACTAAAAATACAAAATGCTGATGTGGTTATATAGAGAAATTTTAAATGAAACACTGCCCTAAAATCTACCAATCATCCAGTCTTATCTCTGTACTTACAATACAGTACAATATACAATTAAAGTAAAAACAGAAGTCACTGGGAACACGCAGCAGGTCAGGCAGCATCTATGGAGAGAGGAAAATTAGTTAACGTTTCAGGTTGATGACCTTTCGTTATACACTTAAAGTATCTGGCAGCTTTCACATTGGGGGGGATGTCCCAAAGCGCTTGACCATTTTGTCTGTGTCCAAGAACTTACATTTGCAGCTGAGGGGGATGAGGAGGGGAAGTATAACTGAAAGCGTGGTCAAAGTTTGAGGCGTACCTTGAAAGAGGGGAGGGAGCAAGTTGGAGAGACGTGGTAATGGAATTCCAGATAGGGGGTGGCAAGCGGCTGAAAGCCTGCTCTCCATACTTGTCACTTTTGGACAGTTTGAGCCAATGTCTATCAGGCTGATAAGAACTGAGCAAAGGCAGACTTTTGAGTGGGAAGCACAAATAGTTTCAACATCATAAAGTGTGATGCAGTATAATTTGATATTGGACAAGCATACATTTAAAATGATATTAATAATGCTTACATTTGGTATAGTGCCTTTCCATTGGGAGGATGTCCCAAAAAGTTTCACAGGATATACTGTAAATTGAGTGAGTGTGTGTTTTGTGTTCTAGAAATGGAAAAGTACGGGGATGGAAGGGTAGAATTTTAGAGGTCCAAATGTAACTTGGTAAAAGGTAGTTCCCAGTTACAGAAAGAAAATCACTTGCCTTCTGACTATGTAAGTGACTGTGCTGAGCTAGGCTAACACGAAAGTCGTGACAGCTTCACCCTTTCCTCACCCAATGTTTAATGATGAGTGTGATTTCTTGTTGATTTTCTCCCTTCCGTCTGTGGATAATGTTGTGGACAGTAAAGCTCATCAAGTACCACCAAAGTTGTGCATCAGATTACTCTGCAAGGCCTAGTATCAAATCTGTCACCATTCTGCTGCGTATGGCTCAGCAGATGTTTGCATCTTCCTTTCTCAGTATATTTTCCTTCACATACTCAATACAGTATCGTCTGTTGCTTTATAATTATTTTTACCAAATTTTAATGAACACATTTTCTTTTAATATTTTTCTGTAGGTCATGGATCTTGATGCTGATTTTAATATAACAAGTTTTTTTGATAAATCTGATTCTAGCATCAGAATCTGAGTTGAATGTTGCTGGTGCTGGTTTATGCACAATCCTATTCAGTGGCTGTAATTAGGCATTACAACAATCCAATGAATCTTGCAGTACCATGAAGTGTGTAAGAATAACCTGCAAGTTTGGATTAACAAAACACCAGTGGAATTTCATTGTTGACATCTTTCCAGCTCTCTACATCATTTACTTTCTGCAATTTTTGTTTACCTTTTATTTTATTTGTTTGTATTTGTAACTTTTCAACTTGTTAACTAAATAAATATTTAAGTTAATTTGAACATAAATTCTTTTTGAAACATTTTATTCTGTACCACTGTAGCAGTAGAGTTTTATATACCACCGTAGCAGTAGAGTTTTTCTAGTTGCTTCTATATATCAGAAAGCTAAACAAACTCCAGATACCCTAGCTACTAGTTTGTGGAGTCCTGTAGCTCAGTGGTTAGAGCACTCGCTTTGCAAGCGAGAGACCTGAGTTCAATTCCAGGCAGGGCGAAACCTTGGGCAAGTTTCCTTACTCCACACAGAGCCTAATAATAATCCCTCCAAAACCAAAAACAATAATAAAATTGGTCATTTTCAATCTACGACTGTTTGTGGGACATTGCTGTGCGCAATTGGCTGCCGCGTTCGCCCACAAATATACAGTCAATTCACTTTACAGTGTGTTCTGTGAAGCGCTTTGGGACGTCCCCCCGACGTGAAAAGCGCTATATCAAATGCAAGGATTATTATTATTATTATTACTTGTGATTAGGCCGTATGATCTGGGAACTGGGGAGAAAATTGCATATTTCTTCGCTATGTGCACACCTTTACATTTTGATGCTCTAAGTAGTGTATTTCCATTAGTAAACCACACTCATTGGTGAATCTGCTACCAAATAGGCAATAGTTTATTAGGTTTTAGAGTGCATTCTCAATTGAAACAAGGCAGCATGGAAGACAACTTTCATTGAAAGTTTTACTGGAGCTGTATCCATTTTGCAAACTATTTTTTAGTATGACAACATATGAAAGGATTATAATAAATAGATAGGTTCTGTATGTTCTACATTAAGAACCGTTCCCCATGTGGTAAAGAGAAGGTAATGAATTGAAAGGAAGCTTAGTTTAGGTACAGTATTTCTTTTTCTTTGATTAATCAATCTTCCAAATACTAACTCTCCCAACACACATCTCTATATTTGTATAGTCACAATATGTGTGTCCTGTACTGTACTTTAGTTTTTAGTCCACTGAGATAATCTAAGTTATTTTTATTTTCGCCCTTCCCCTCCCCGATTTTCTAGGTCTCCCCATTTACCATCCAAAGTGGAGAGGGCAAGCCGCCTGCTCCCAGGCCACTGCCAATGCCACAATATAATTGGCTGCTAGGAGGTTCACAAGATTGTCCCGAGGTGAGACTCTTTCAGATTTTCCCTCTCTACTTGTGGGAAATGCTTAGCCCTCACTTGATGTCTCTTTGGGATATCTCTATGCAGGTTGTGTACTGTTGTTTCACAAAGGATGTTAAAACAAAATGATCTTAACTTTATTGATATTTCTTTCCCCTCACTTATGGTAAAACATCTTCTTCTAGTGTGAACAATCGCATCTCATGAGGGAACATGAAGAGGTTCAGGAAAGGACGACCCTACGTTATGAAGAACGCATCACTGAACTCCATAGTATAATTGCAGAGCTGAATAAAAAGATAGACAGGCTACAGGGAACAACAATAAGGTGAGCGTGAATGACCATAAAAACATTGGATTAATTTGAGGATTTAATAGAGTAGGTTCTGGCTGTTGCAAATGCCACTTGGATTGGAAGATTAATTGGTATGAGTTTACTTTGAATTTATTTGGGGATTTGTTTTTATTCTTCAATTGTTTTTAAAAAGGTTATTTTGTAATATACTGTATTGCTAGAGAGCTGTAAGAATAAACAAATGAAGCTGTATAAAAGATGGCAGTTAAGCTATAACCAAAACACAAAATACTGCAGATGCTGAAAATCTGAAAACAAAAAAGGAAGTTGCTGGGAACACTCAGCAGGTCAGGCAGCATCTATGGAGAAAGGAAAGTGAGTCAACGTTTCAGGTCCACGACCCTTCATCAGAACTGGGGCATGTTGCGAGGGAGAGGCTTTTAAGGGCTAACAAGGGGAAGGCTGCACAAGGAAGACAAAGGAGAAAATGGGGTGGAGGACAGGGAATGATGGGTTAAAAAGGTGTTAATGATGCAGAACAAATTGGAACAGCGCAGGCGACCGTGGATAGAGAGGTCAGAGTGTGAATGGAAGGGAGAGTTGAAATGGCAAGAAACTGGAAGCTCGGGGTTGTGCTTGCGGGTAGAACAAAGGTGTTTGGCAAATTGGTCGCCCAATCTGCGTTTCGTCTCCCCGGTGTAGAGGAGACCACGCACTCTGACCTCTCTATCCATGGCCTCCTACGCTGTTCCAATGAGCCCCAGTGCAAGCTCGAGGAACAGCATTTCATTTTTCTGCTAGGGATCTTACAGCCCTCTGGCCTCATTATTGATTTCAGCGATTTCAGACCATAACAGCTCACCCTCGCCCTCTTCTGTGACCATTACCACATCATCTTGGTCCCAGACGCACCTTTTCTCTCCCTGATATGCCTGTCACATCCAGGCTCAATGTCACATCAAGTCTCAATTACGGAAACTCCCTCCTCATCGGCCTTCTCAACTCTTCCCTTCACAAGCTGCAGATCATCCAAAACTCTGCAGCTCGTGTACTCTCACGCACCAGGTTCTGTGACCCCATCACTCCCACCCTCGCCCGACTCCACTGGCTCCCCATCCCCCAGCAGATTGAGTTCAAGATCCTCATCCTCACCTTTAAGGCCATCCATGGCCTTGCCCCCTCCTACCTCTCTGACCTGCTGACTCCCTACCAACCTGCCTGCTCCCTCCGTTCATTGGGCTCCGGACTGCTCCATGTCTCCCGCCCGACCCGCCCTACCATCGGTGGTCAGGCTTTCAGCCTCTCTGCCCCCACAATTTGGAACTCCATCCTGAGGTCCCTTCCCCTCGATTCCTCCCTTGCCTCCTTCAAGGCCGGTCTTAAGACCCTTCTCTTCGACCGTGCCTTTGGACTCCCTCCCACCTCTCTGCCTTCCCTCATCCCTACACCACCCCTCCCCCATGCTCGGGCCCCGACACCTGACTGTTCAGCGCTTTGGGACGTCCTCCCGACGTGAAAGGTGCTCAAAAATGTAAATTTGTTGTTGTTTTGTTGCAAGTTCTTTTTCCCCCCCCCTTTTTGTTCTGCATCATTAACACCTCTTTAACCCATCATCCCTGACCTCTACCCCATATTTTCTTTGCCTTCCTTGCCCTGCCTCCCTCCTCTCTGTTAGCCCTTAAAAGCCTCTCCCTCCCAAAATGCCCCAGTTCTGACGAAGGGTCATGGTCCCGAAACGTTGACTCACTTTCCTTTCTCCATAGATGCTGCCTGACCTGCTGAGTGTTCCCAGCGACTTCTGTTTTCGTTTGCAGTTAAATTATATTTTGTTCAAAAAACAAGAAGTCCTCTTCAACAACAACAAGATTGCATTTATAGAGCGCCTTTCACGTCGGGAGGACGTCCCAAGGTGCTGGACAGTTGGGTCGGTACCCGAGCAGGGAGGAAATGGTCAGGGTGAGGGAAGGGAGGGAGCGAGGAGGGGGTAGAGAGTCGAGAGGGGAGCTGAAGGCACGGTTGAAGAGAAAGGTCTTGAGACCGACCTTGAAGGAGGAAACAGAGGAAGCAAGGCGCAGGCACTGGGGGATGGAGTTCCAGGTCCTAGGGGCTGAGAGGCTGAAAGCCCGGCCACGGATGGTAGGGCGGTTAGGGCGGGGGATGTGGAGCAGACCGGAGGGTACATTCAGTCTTTATATTCAAGATATTGCACCTTGGGACAAGATTTTTTTGAAGGGTATAATGTATTATTCTGCTGCCATTGTCCTCACTCATGCCAGGCTCTGCATCCTCATCACTCCAATTTTTATTTCCCTGTTGCAGAATGCATTGATTTCAAGATTCTCACTTTCACTTTCAAAGCACTTCACGCCCTGGCAGGTCCCTACCTGTCCGATCTACTCACACTCCACTTCATTACCCACCACCTTTGCTCAGATGGCTGAGGTCTTCTGCACACCCCCTCGTCCCTCTTCTCCACCAATCGTGGCCGCACTTTCAGCCACAATGCCTCAAATCTCTGGAACTCCCTGCCTCAATTCCTCTGTTTTGCCTCCATTTTACCCATCTTCAAATCGCACTCTCCTCTTTGGCCATTTCTTCGGTCACCTCCCTTCTTTTCAGCTCGATGTCAAACCACACCCCTGTTAAGCACTATGAGATGCTAACCGTGAAGGCCGCTATATAAATGCAAGTTGTTGTCATTGTGTTAGAATGGTGGAATAACATCTATTCCACCATGAAATACATTTTTATGTTTGTCAACATCAATCCTAGTCATTAAACATGGTTCATGGATCATATCAACTCAGAAATTAATAATATTGATTAAAAACATTGATTTTGGGCTCCCTTGATAACCTGGTCAGTGGATAAAGATACTATTTAGGTCAGCAATAAATTATACAGGTTGAAGATTGCAAATTCAAATCCTAGTCTGTGCTGAGTTAGCAAATCTCAGCCATGGAACCGGCACTAGATTTTTCTTCCTTAACTAGGAGCTCTATAGTTGACCTCTAGGTTCAGGAGGGGAAGATCACATTGATCTTCCGTGGTTCCTTAGCTAACCCAACAACACAACAGCAGCAACAACAATTTGCATTTATATAGCGACCCTGATAGAGGGTAGCGTCCCAGAACGCTTGACGACGTGAACTGGGGGGAAGTGACTGGAGGCATGGTCGAAAAGGAAGGTGTTCAGTCGTGACCTGAAGATGGCGAAGGAAAGGGCAAAGCGATGGGATAGCGGAGGAGTGTTCCAGAGTTTTGGGGCATAGTGGTTGAAAGTCCTGCCACCAATGGTAGAACGGAGGGCATGAGGGATATGCAATCAAGCGTCGGAGGCAGCGGTTATTGGGTTGGGGAGTAAGCAGGTCAGAGAGCTAGGAAAGTGCCAGTGCATGAAGGGATTTGAAATCAGTGATTGTACAGACCAGAGATGTGTTTAATGATGTATTTAGGACTGAAAAGGTATGCCATGGATTTTGGAGTTTGTTGAGCATTGCTTGAGGGAAGTGTTTAATTGGAAGTTTCAGAACATGCCCATTTGGGTAAAGTATAATTGTTGTTGGAAGGTCAAGATCTATCCCCTAAGGGGAAATTATTTAACTTGGTGAAAACTTAAGTCACGTTATGAGTGTTTCCTGATGTTTGCTGTATCAGATCGGAAGTAAGAACCTTGGAGATAATCAAGCCTCTTTTTCTGCATCAGTAGCAGCATATTGGGTTGCTATCAAGCTTAATTTCAGTCTGTGGCATAGAACATTTTTGTCAGGCTTGCACAGTTTAGAATTTGAAGATTCTATTTAGGTTAGCAATGACTACCCTACTCTAAACTCTTTGCAATGCAGTATCAAGCTGTTTCTTAAATGAGTCCACGTAAGAAATCTATGCGATGCATGGAACATATTACCAATTAAAGAATGAAAACCCGACATTTACTTTATATTTTTCCAAATTCTGGAATTCTGAAGACATTGCATGCCAAAGTTCCTCCTCTCCTCATTATGAAATACAGTAAACTCCTGGTTTACTGGACACCGGGTATCCAGAATTTGTACTCAGATAGCCCTCGCTATCTTCAGCTTGCAGGATTCAAACAATTATAATACCTTTACTTGCATTTTGCGGCACTGAAAAACGCTGGTAAATGCAGATACTGGCATTGTGGAGTAACTCAGTGGTTAGAGCCCTCGGCTCACAAGCGAGAACCCTGGGTTTGATTCCTGGGCAGGACGAAACATTGGGCAAGTTTCCTTACTCCATAAACCTCTGTTTGCCTAGCAGTAAGTAGGAACTCGATTGTTAGTTAATTGGGTAATAATTCCTTCAAAAAATAAATAATAAATCAATCCACAACTGTTTGTGGGACACTGCTGTGCGCAATTGGCTGCCGTGATTCTCCCATAAATGTACAGTCTATTCACTTTGCAGTCTATTCTGTGAAACTCTTTGAGACGTCTCGAAGACGTGATAAGGCACTATATCAATATGCAAGGATTATTATTGTAATTACACTAAGATGGAAATTCTGGCTCTTCCTCTCCCTACTTCTCCATTAGTCCTGCTAGCTGGGGTTTTAGTGTATTTGTTTCTTTCAAACAGTTGAATTTTCCATGTCTCTTTTTTCCATAATTGCTGATTTCTATTCTTTTGGCAACCGCTTTTAAATAAAACATAATCTTTGTGAAATTGAACTGATTCTTCCTGTACCTTTTATCCGAAATGAACATTTCTAGGTAACTCCTAATTTTGGGATTACCAATTGTGGCATCAAGCTGCTTTCGTTTTCTCAGAGTTTTTAGTCAGAATGGTGGTGCAATCTTAATTATAAAATTATTGCTTCAGACAAGTTGCTGATAGCTTCCACTCATGGGATTAGAACCTTGGAAATGTGAATTATAGAAATCAAGTGTGTAGAGGACAAATTTTCATTTTCTGAGAGTGCGTTTGACAACTGCAGATCTTTGACAAAAATCTACAATTAATCAAATTGTGTTCCTTTACAAAGAGCTGCGTTCATGGTGGCCTCAGTTGAT